AAAACACAGTGCACTATTTGGCTGTATGTAGTTATATGTATTAAACAAAACCTTGATGCAAATAATTACTGAAGGAATCATTTAAGTCCTAATGATTTCTGATTCACAGAGTTATTTCCTTATAAATGTCGCCTGTGCAAATAAATAACTGCACCGTAACAAACATTAATCTGATCTCTCATGGGTGTATACAAAATATGGTTGGCATCGAAGAATGCACAAATAATTGTTTTCTGTGCCTTCGACAGTCTATGTGGCTGGGTTACCCTGGAACTAGCGGGGCGCCCTTCATGGACTACATCATCTCTGACAAGGAGACGTCACCTGTTGAAGTAGCTGAGCAGTATTCTGAGAAACTGGCCTACATGCCCAATACTTTCTTCATTGGAGACCACGCCAACATGTTCCCTCACCTCAAGGTTTGTCAATCTTTACATCGCTGCAGTTTCTTTGAACTTGTTTGTCTTGTTTAATAAAATCAAATCAGTGTTTGTAATGTTCGTTTTCTTTTATTGACCCACAGAAAAAGGCGGTGATTGACTTCAAGTCTAATGGACACATCTTTGACAACCGCATTGTTCTTAATGGTATTGATCTGAAGGCCTTCTTGGACAGTCTGCCTGATGTGAAAGTTATAAAGGTGAGTTAAGAGAATTTCCAGACCAGTGAGTAAGGCATTATAGTTAAGTGTTGGACCTCCTGGATGGGAGTGTTTTGACTATTTGAACAAAACAATGAATCACTTTGTCATTTCTGTCTTTGGGTTATGTTAATTAGACAATATTATCAATATCTGCTTATCCAGATAACATTTAAAATCATTAAAATATGTTAATATGGATCATGCAGTCAAAAAGATATCTTCTAATGATAAGTTGAAACTGTTCTCTGTGACTAGATGAAGTGTGACAACAACCAGGATGCTGCCGGGGACACAAATGGAGCTCTGTCCATGCCCGTAATCCCCATGAACACAGCAGCTGAAGCAATCATCAACATGATCAACCAAGGCCAAATCCAAGTCACGATCAATGGCTTCACTGTCAGCAATGGCCTGGCCACCACACAGGTATGTCTGAGTTGGACACACTTGAAACTAAATGTAAAACTTAAGGGATTTGTTATGGGTACAAAACCTCTATAAATTCAGAAACAAGCCAGGAGCAGCAATTTAATTTAGCTTGCTGCTTTTCCAGATCTTTTCAGCAGATTGTAGTCTCTGAAACCTCCTTGCAGGTATGGCGTCTACATGAACATAAGGTTGAAGCACAGAACTGTTGGTGAGGGCAATGGTGACACTGGATTAGCTGTAAAATAAATATTACGGCCTTGGCTTTCCAAAAAGCATATACTCACTAGTAGGCTCAGTACCATCAAGAGGCTCGAACAGTCAAAGAATCACACTTAACTCTTCAGGACTCCACCTCTAAGCAACCCTGCATTATGCCCCATTTTAGATCAACAACAAAGCTGCCACTGGGGAGGAGGTTCCACGCACAATCGTCGTGACAACCCGCTCCCAGTATGGTCTGCCAGAGGACTCCATTGTCTACTGCAACTTCAACCAGCTCTACAAAATCGACCCCCCTACTCTTCAGATGTGGGCCAATGTAAGTTAGACGGGCTTTATTATAACAACTGCTTTGACTGTCTGCACTTAAAAATATGCTCATCTGGTTTAAAACTCACCTCTCCCTGCAGATCCTGAAGCGTGTTCCCAACAGTGTGCTGTGGCTTCTTCGTTTCCCCGCCGTCGGCGAGCCCAACATCCAGCAGTACGCTCAGAACATGGGTCTGCCTGGCTCTCGCATCATCTTTTCTCCTGTGGCCCCCAAGGAGGAGCACGTGAGGAGGGGCCAGCTGGCTGATGTGTGCCTAGACACTCCACTATGCAATGGTCACACCACAGGCATGGATGTTCTCTGGGCTGGAACACCCATGGTCACCATGCCAGGTTAGGACACTAGGGACTGACTTAAAACCCTTGTTTATTACTGATACAATAAAACTATTTTAGTCATTCTAGTGAAGAAGAAAAGTAGAAGTAGAGTAGAAAAGAATTCAAGTGAAGGCTGTTTTTTAATTGTTAAACCTCTTTTTAAAGGTGAGACCCTTGCCTCCCGTGTTGCCGCCTCACAACTCAACTGTCTTGGCTGCCCTGAGCTAATAGCCCAGAGTCGCCAGGACTATGAGGACATAGCAGTCAAACTGGGATCTGACATGGAATAGTAAGTAAAAATTTGACTTGACTATTGAAAAACATAGTAGTTGAACTGCGTAGTCTGACCGTTTTCTTTGTCTCCTTCAGCCTGAAGATGGTCAGAGCACGTGTTTGGAAGCAGCGAATCTGCAGCCCTCTTTTCAACACCAAGCTGTACACAATGGACCTGGAGAGGCTCTATCTGCAGATGTGGGAGCACTATAGCAATGGCAACAAGCCAGAACACCTGGTCCAGACAGTAGAGACCAGTGAGAATGCCTGAACTGGAAGCACGCTGATTTCTTTTCCCTTATAACCCCAACCATGTTCAGCCCTCCCCACCATCTTTTGTTTGTTTTGTTTTTTTTATACCATTATCAGCACCGTAGCTTGGAATAGGCCATTTCAACTCCAGCCTTCTCCCTGAGTGACTGTCTCCATCTCTCTCATTTACTATTAATGGGACTCTTTATTTGTGAAGGAGCCTACAGATGTACACATTCATCCCCCATCACATTCGTTGTTGCATCACACATCTGCATTTCCTGAGCCAGATCGAGCCTGAGACTTTCAGGCACCTCATCTGAGACTCTTGTCCTAAAACACAGTATATTGGTGAGCATGAGAAGATTGTGAATGCCCTGCTTACCCCTTCAGTACTTGGATCAGTGGATTTTTATTTTTTTCTCTCCTGTCGGTGTGCATACAGGACTAATTGCAGCTTGTGAAGGGAATGCCCAGCCGTCATTACTTGTTGATCTATTTATAAATGGATTGAGAGTGTTGTGTGTTTTAAAAGGACAATGTTGCACCATGAAAATTGTAACTCTGACTTCAGTTTCATCAGCTTCAACATACAAGTGTAAAACATAGGTTGCAACTGCTCTTTAGTTTGTCTTAAGCTGTTATTAAATTACTACAATGAGTAGATGTGAAAGTCTTGAGGAATATGGTCTAGAATGAAGATTTCGTCCCCTCACCAAATGCCAACTTTTATTAATTTTGTTGTCAATCAAGGAAATATGTTCAGTAGCTGTTTGATGTCGCACTATGCTTGTAAAAATGATTGGACAAAGCTGGACAAGGGAGCTTCAATTCATTGGAAAGGGCCTAAATTTAAGTTTAGATGTCAGAGCTGTTCACAAATTGATCTTGTTTTTTAATCACTCAAACCAGGAACGGCCTAGGTAAGTATTTTCTAAGCAGTTTTTCTTTTTGTATTGTCTGTTAACTGTATGCTGTCAATGATGCCACGAGGCTCTAAATATAATAAAAAATAAAGAGATGGCAAAACTCTGCTGTCTTTTCCGGCTCACTTGATTTAGTTGTTGTTGTTGAAAACAATAAAAAGTTAAAAACATCAGCCTCCGTTTCCTTGTTTTGAAAGCTGTTATAGCATCAGTATTCATGTGCAGTAGCAAACTATAATAAATGACAAATTGGTAGTTATTAGATTTTGCCTCTATTGGTGCTTGAGATCAATGGAGCAATGATATAAAAATGTTCAATCTGCTGTCAGTCACCATATCAGAATCAGAAATACTTAATTGATCCCCAGTTGGAAATTCTTTGTGTTCTTTCTGTTTTTGGGATTTATATAACCATAGGGCAATTATAGGAAAGTTGGTGTGCATTACACTACAAAACTATATATATATATATATATATATATATAGACAGAAAAATATGTGCAGATAGCTAGCTAGCTAGCTAGCTAGAGAGATAGAGAGATATATAGATATAGATATCTATACAGAAAAATATGTGCATCATACTACACTTTTTAACTAAATATAAATGCAGGGAAATGGGATCTAAATGTTAAAATGCAAGAATAGTATAAATGTTAGTTAAAACAGTACAGTATAAATTCACTAGTATGTATGTATGAGCATGTATTCATTTATATCTTATCAGTAAATGTAGTGTACCACAGCACCAAAATTATAATGAAGTCAGCATAATGTACTCAATTTAAAAAGTTCAAATGCTGATCATTGGAAAAGTCCCTCAGTGTTGTCACTTGTTGGATTGTTGTGTGTTACACCGTCTATGGTATAAACATTTTGATCATATACTGATTCAATAAACAATAATACATTATTTTGTTTAAATGTAAGTTGTTTGTATGTTTTCTATACCAAAGTAAAGTATAACATTGAATGAAAACAATATCACCTCTGCACCTTTTAAATCCTTCCATAAGGTGTTTGCTGGTGGGCGTGGACAGAACGTCAGCCGCCCGCTCCGATTGGTCGAATCTTTCGTGATAACTTCCGGTGTAACGGAATAGAACGAGGTTTGAATTTCTCTTAGCTCCGTGTGCTACCGCGGTGCCTCTTCTGTAACTTACAACAACAGAAGCGGGTTTGGTAATCATATCTCAAGTGAAATATGTTGTAGTATATACTCTATAGAGGTTCGTGCCATACTTACTAACGGAAAAAAACCTGAATCACTTTCAGAAAGTTAGCTAGAGCCCAAACAAAGTCAGCTTGCAAGATAGCTGTTAACGCTAACGGTAAGGTTTCCAGCTCCAGTGAGTTTACTTAACTATGTTTATGTTGTTTATGTTTATGTTGTTTGTGTGGCTGCAGAAACTCTTAATAGAGTCAAATAAACTGGTTAATTGAAAACCATTTATTTTAACCATCAGCTAGCCTTACTTTATGGTTTTGTGACAGCTTGTTGTGCGCTGGACTTTAAATCTTAAATGACTGTCGTGTTTGTTTGTGTACCCTTTTCACAGAGCAGAGGGAACTATGAATGAAAATACCTGCAAATTATTCCAAAGACTTGCTCAAAAGATGGGCTGGACCGCGGATGAGGAAGGACTGGACGCTGCAGAACAAAAGGTTTGTGCACACATTATTAACCTGCACACAAGAACCAGGTTACAGGCAGAGTGGAGGTTGGCTCCATCCACCAGACACATGCTGGGACAATATGAATGTGACTTCATTCATAAAACAATGATTTACTAATGAGTGGCTGGGGTGTTGAACATTTTTCTGTCAGTGGTTGGTAGCAGTTCACATTTAAAAAACGAATATTTCCCACCCTGCTTACCACCATAGACGATTCATATATATATATAATATAATATAATGTGTAAACTAATAGTAACACTAAAGATGGGTATGGTTTACTGGGAGAAGGACCAGCTCATAGCCATATATTTAAGTGCAACAATTAGATCATTAATCAATTAGTCAATTTGACAGCTGGTTGGTCTTTTTCTATTTTGAGAATGGGTTAATCATTTTGGTCAAAGTAACTGAATTTAAATAAGTATTTAAGTCAATAACAGGTAGTCTATTTAAATGTTTTGGATGTTTACATAAGTTATGATGGAAATCTGTTTTCATTGTTTCCAGCTGTTAAAAACAATTGGAAAGACTCGTCACGCTGCCACGAGTGTTCATCGATCGACCTCACCGGACCAGTTTACCTTTTCTGACGATGAGGATGATCCAGACAAGGAGAACCAATACTCCAAGGGCAACGATTACAGAAACAAGTCGTTGATCGAGTCTAGTGATGATGACTTTGACCAATGTGAGTTAAATTGTATGAATATTGTATTTTATATTGGCCTGTCTGAACACTTGATGATTTCAGTCATCCCAGAGTCGACTCGCATTTTTGTCAGTCGAATCTTATCACTTTTGTTTTCTGGCTGAGTCATTGTACACAATGCAGGAGCAACAACATGGCAGGCTGTAACCTTTACCATCCGAGTCTCAAAATAACTACAAAACCAACTGTGATGGAAGCAGAGAAGAGTGAGAAGAGGGCAGCGTGACTCAGTCTTTTGGCTACTCCAACGCTCTCTGCTCTGCTGATGACTGTCAGTGAAGTCGGCTAAAGTAGACAGTGGTACAACCTCCTGTACAGGCGTCCACTGTGGTTGACTCTCTGACTGACAGCATTGTCAGCAGCCTGGCAGGGACGCTCTGGGTGCCCAGGGATTTTACCCAACTGCTGTATGAGCAGGATGCACACCTTTTTAACTTTCTTTAACTTTGTGGAAATCTGATAGTTTCACATCACAGATGATGAAGAAAGGCATAAGATGAGACTCATGGAAGCTGATATAGGAGTTTAGTGTGACACTGAACTGAAAAAAAGGAGCAAATAGTTGAATCTTAGTATTGAGTCGGGTACAGCCCTATTTTTATTGTTAAATTGACTTGACTCAGCTCACAAATATATAATTAATAATTCTTTTCTTTTTTCTTTTTTCTTCCTCAGTTCTAAAGGAAAGGGCTACACCGAAAGCTAAACCTACCTCACAGAAACCATGTAGTGCTGCAAAGAAAGGCAGGTATGAAAATGGAGCTCCCTGAAAATGTCAATTTTAAGCTCAATTTTAAGTTTTATTCATAATTTACTACTAATACTAAACCATTTTTTTGTCCTATTTAGTTCAGATGTTCTTGTGTTGAGCTCGGATGACGACGGTTTTGAGACATGTAAGTGGCCTTTTTCTGCATCTTACAGTTGTCTTTACCTCGAACCATTCACAATAAATAAAATTCTAACATCAGTTAGATAAGAAAATGTATATGTTTGTAATATTTTTCTCTCGCATATCTTCTTTTTGCACATTGAAGTTCTACAACGAGTGAAAACCCCCAGTGCCAAGCCTAAGCAAATATCAGGGAGTGGGAGTGAAGATAGGTGAGTTTATGATGTAATTTGTCCTCCATATGCATTCTCACTGTCTGGAAAAGTTTGTTTAAAAGACAATCTGTTTTACCTTTTTGTTTACTCTAAAGCCTCAAAAACTTCATAGTGGATGACTACTCATCAGATAATGACTTTATTGAGACAAAATCATCCTTTAAAGGTAACGTTGAATCAGTTCTGTAATTATATTTCAGGAAAGTAACGCTGAATTGTAAATGTATAATGGTGATTTTGCATCCAATGTTTTGCAGTCCCTACAAAGAGTACCACTCCAGCGGCCCAGCGTCCTCCCAGGAGACCACTTTCTCAGTGGGACTCCCCAGTCTTTGTTAGTGACAGTGATGATGAGGATAATATTGTGGTCAAGAGCACTTGGAGGACTCGTCGCTCAAAACCTAAGCCCCCGCCAAAGGCTACCAAGAATAATGCTCTGCAGTGTGATAAAGAGGACAGTCCCTTCCCTTCTCCCTTTTCTCTCCTTCCCCACAAAACTCCAACATCACTGGCCTCTCCCAAACGCACTCTTTCAGCACCTTCTAAACTGGATGAGTCGGCCAGTTCTGAGGAGGAGTTCACATCCTTGCTGGAGAGACTGAAGAAGAAAAACAACCTTACTGCCACTTCATTCTCGCCTAAGAACCGCCATGGTAACGGTTTTATTTGGATTGTCGCTTTCCAACAGTCTAGCGTTTGTTTTCATTCTCGTTGTGAGGCTGATATCTGCTGTTTTTGCTCCTAAATTTAGAATGCAATAAGGAGCCTCCTGTGTCTGTTCCTCGTGCAAAGGGACCAGCCACTAAATCCTTAAGGGAAACACCTCTACATGTGAAGACACCAGGAAAATCCGCCGTCTCCAATCCCACAGTCAGTCAGACAGAGCCCAGACACGGCCCCATCAGCAGGTACATCTGTTGACCAGACATGAATGTTGGACAGACTTTTCCAAAGTTTTAATGTCTTATTGTATATTGTGCCTATCGCCCACTCAGTTTGTCTTTCTTACACTTTAATTCAACTCGTTCTTTCCTTCCTAGGGTAACATTGTGTAAGACCCCAGGGTGCTTCTTGCAGTCCCTATCAAACCCTGGCACCAGCTATGGCCGCAATTTTAAGCAGAACAAGGAAGAACTCACTAGTAAACTCTACCTGCTGTACAATAACAGTGTGTTTGACAGTAAGGTAATGAACAGGTTTTTTTTTTTCCCCCCTTGTTCCATTTAAACCTTTTAGAAATGTCTTGAATTATGAATGTATCTTACCTTGTTTTTAATTTCTTTAACATATAGCATTCTTTGTTTTTTCTTGTCTGGCATGACTTCTAGCTCCCCACCAATATGTCAGTGACTTGGAATAAGAAGATGCGGAAAACGGCTGGTTACTGTATCACCGGGCAGGAACGAGGTGGAGGGAGCCGCTATGCCCGCATTGAACTGTCAGAGAAAGTCTGTGATTCTGCAGGTAATGCTTTAGTGGGCCAGATAAAGTAATGCAGTGTGTCTGCTCAAAAGTCCCTGAGTGTAAATATTTCATGCATAGTAAAACATTTAATGTCCGTTTACATTTGATTGAATCTCTTCATCGCATTCTCATCGCTCCATCCTCCTAGATCGTCTCAGGGACACACTGATTCATGAGATGTGTCACGCTGCAACCTGGCTGATTAATAGTGTAAGGGATGGGCACGGGCCCTTCTGGAAGCTGTACGCTCGCAAGGCCACAGTGGCGCACCCTGAATTGCCCATGGTCACTCGCTGCCACAGTTACGACATCAAGTACAAGTTCCAGTACCAGTGCACCCGCTGCCAGAACACGTACGTCCGACTGATTTCAGATGAATTAAAACCATTACCGTCGCATCTTTCATTATTCACCTTTCATTCACAGACTTGTGTGTTCATCTTCCTAACACTTTACCGCGCTTCCTCACAGGATTGGGCGTCATTCCAAGTCACTGGACACGCAGAGGTTCGTGTGCGCGCTCTGCACAGGACAGCTGATCTTACTGACGCCTGCCAAGCAGCGCGCCCCCACACCTTTTGCCAACTTTGTCAAAGAGAATTATAAGACTGCGCGACAGGAGCTAGCAGGACAAGGCCACGCGGAAGTGATGCGTAAACTTAGTGCCGACTTTGCCTCCAAGACTAAACTGAGTGAAAGCTGAGATCTTAATGCTCACTGGACTGAGCTATACAACCACAGGAGACTTATTCAAATTCTGAAATACCTCAGTCAACTCGTCTTACATTAGTGAGCAGCTATGATGATTAATATTGAATCTATTTTTTTGTGTGTTTTTAATGTCATTTCTGTATTTGTCAGTATGTGAATATGGACTCAATCTGCTGTAACTGGAAAATCTGAGCCAGCATTCCCGAGTGTGTCTGTGTGCACTTTTTGGTGTATTTGTTATCTGTTATCCCCGGTATTTAATACATATTGGAGATCAGTTTCAGGAATTGGCATTGTACAGTACTGAGTTAAAGGTACGATTAGATCCATATATTTTTTATATTTGACTAGTTTGATTTTCCTGTTATGAACTCTAAATAAAGTTTTTAATTTGTGACTGTGCTTTAAAGGGATATTTGACTTTTATGTATTTCTCAGTTTTTGGTTTTGGGTTAGGGGTTAGTTTAGTTTTAACCATGAATTGCATACTGTAGAACTGTAGATATATTTATCCAATTTCAATCCCTTGGGTTACTTAATGTAAATTACTTTTAAATTAATTGGCTGCTTCCAGGTCGGAGGCAGCTTTCTAAATATTTTACAAAAACATGGTAATGTGTTTGAGAGTGGGTGGCATTATGTTTTCCATGACTGTGCCTCTGCTATCAGGCAAATATTGACAGGTAGAATACAGTTCTGTGCAAATGTATTAACATTGTCCCTGACTTTTGTATAAATAAGCAAATGTAATCCTGATAACAAATGCTAGCTGTTGACACATCACTGTCCACGGGGATGAGGTCTGACACGTTGACACGCTGAAGCTGAGTAAATGCACAGCCTTTAATGCTGGCACAACGGGATGATTCAGTCGCAACCAGCCCTCAGAATAAAACTGACTTCTGATGTGTCTGCTGTACTATGTCACACTGGAAATGCTCAAGAAGGAAGAACAACTTTAAAACGGATGTGAGGGTGAGTGTTTTCCCATTTTTTTCCCCCCCCATTTGAGAAGAGGTCAAAGAGATTTTTAGTGGTTGCCAGGTGCTAATGGCTTGTAATTATCTGTCTGACAGATCAGAGGGAGCTTTATGTCATGGAGATCCACTGCAATGTGACAACACTAGAGGCCCAGACACAGATCAACTCCACCATCTTTCACCTGGTTAAGATGGCCAGCATGTGTGTGAGCTACACCTTCAACACTTTACTCAGTGTTCCTTTACTCCTGGTCATCACACGCTCCCCATCCCTGCTCAGACACACTCGCTTCCTGCTCCTCACACACCTCCTCTTGTGTGACAACCTCCAGGTAGGTCCACACTTTTTGACTTTGGACAGATTTTTACTAGACCATACCACTGTATCTTTTCATAATAACTGAGATGATAATATGCCTTTTGACTTTTGAGCTAAATGATTATTGTCATTACCATTTCAGCAGCTCCTCTGGACAGTCAAAGCAGTTATCTTAAGATCCAGAGAAGGTATACCTTTGACCCAGTGTCTGATCTTCTGTGCTGCTACCCAGGCCTGCTCATTGGTTTGTAAAATATTGATTACATTTATGCAATTTTTTGGGGTCAAATTGATTTACAGCTACAGTAAAGGATGAATCTAATTATACTTGTAGACCACTTGAAAAGGGCAACTTCCTCCTGTATTGGCCAAGAGGGGATCCCTTCCTAATGGGATTCCAATATACTTTAAGTGATAGGTCGAAATCCACTGAACAACTCATATAAAATTAACTTCTCTAGTTAAACCAAGTATGGACAGGAACAACATTTGCAGTTTCCACCAATAATCTGGCACTTTATTTTTGTTTGAGTTTTTCATGTTTACTCTATATTATGAATGGATCAAATCTCCAATGTGGAGTAACATAATCTTTGTGCTGGATGATACGTGTGAATTCATTAGAGAGACAGGTTACGACCTAAGGGCAGCACAGTAAGTTCAACAGTTCAATGAATAATAATAATAATGAATCATTTCCCCTTAAGCCTGTTTAAAAGTGCTGTGATCTACTCTTTTCTGATGGTCTGCCTGCTCTGACTCACTTACTATGAACACTGCACTTCTAAAACTTTGACATAGTAGGTAACAGCCAAAACTGAGGGTTGCATCTTCACTTTTTTTGCGCAGGTGGCGCTCTTCCTGAGCACTGCTCTGGCCGTGGACCGCTATGTAGCTGTAAAGTGGCCCCTGCGCTATGAATTTTTGATGTGTCCTCAAAGGAAGAGAGCAACTGTTGCAGCCATATGGACTTTATCAGCTGTGCTCTCCAGTGGGTCTTTGTGTATCAGCCTCAACACCATCCAGGTCAATTTTCCCCTTCCCCGCTGTCGACCTCTCATTCTCACACCCTGCCTGTCTGGGACATCGGCTCTGGTAATTTATTGCACCGTGGGAAGTGCTGTCGTGGTGCCTCTGTGTTTTCTGACCATCCTGGGATGCTTCTGCGTGCTCTGCTGGGACATGAGTGCAGGACTGCTGTGCACCAAGAGAGCATGTGTGACCCTGACCCTCCAGGTAGCTCAGACCGTTCTCTTTTCTGTTCCTATGGTCATGGACAGCTACCTGATCCCTGGTTACCTGCACAGTGATGCTCTTGATATAGCAACCACCATCACCTATAACCTGGGGGTGTCACTCATCCCTCTGGTCTATGGCTACCGCTCAAGGGAGCTCCAGCAAAGGATACGGCAGGCTGCAGTTTGTCATCAAGCCTGATAAACATTTTTTTGTGGAGCTGCTATTAATAAAAAAAAATCTATGCCCGAATACGAAGAGCAGTGTTTTCCTGTATGGCACAGCAGGCTTTCCGCATTTATTGCATCCAATTTTGAATTTACTTGTTTGAAATAGTGAGGTTGAATAGATGAGTCAATATGCTGTGGTAAGGCAGCAGCATCTTCATGTAATCCATTTGCATTTCAAAGGCAAACGATGTGTGTTTTATTAGCAGCAGTAGAATTCAAGCGTTTATGATGTGAGTAAAAAATCAAATAGAAGGAAAAGAGTCAAGCTGTTCAAACACTGATAACTACTCCAGGTATATGAGGACAATAATGACAAATAGAAGACAAAACAATATGCTGCTGCTTCAATATATTTAATCTGTACCTTAAACACTTATATGCTGTATGTCTACTCATTAAAGTCACTATGTATTATACAAAACATTCAAGAATACAGAGGGATAAATACTCAATGCTACGAGAAAAATACATACACAATCAATCAGATTTTAAAGATAGCGGGAAGGTGTGCAGGTGAGAGAGGTCGGGCAGCTTCCCTGATTGTGTTGATCACCCCCTTTAAAGAGGCACAGGCACAAATCCACAGGTAGCACTGAGATGAGACAGCGCTCCCCAATCATCAGCGGTTAACCAACTGCTCACATTGTATTTCTCTGGAAAACCAGCATACAAAAGCCAAAAACATGAAACACTGGAGTTACCAGTATAAACCAAACAATCTACAAGGTGAATGACGCGCAAACTGTATTATTAATCAAAGCATTGGAATGTACTTGTCACCATATTGACTTAGGCACTGAGAATTTTCTTGGAAACAAATAACCTATATATTATCATTAATATCATGAGTGTATTCTTCATAAAAGTATGCAGCATTCCAAACAACAAGGAGAGTTTTCTCTTCTGTTTTTGGCAAATGTGATGAAGATTATCAAGTAAATAAAAAGGAGGATAATTTGGCATTTGACCAGACTTTGTGCTCAAGTCTTAAACGGTGTCCTCTCAGTGTAGTATGTGACAGTTAAACCTCATTGTAAGTGAAAATGTATGGCACAACACATTATTAAGGGACATTTTGAGATACAAGTAGATATATGAGCGGCATTACATGTAAAACCACCACTGGTCCCCTCCACGTCACCAACCATTATGTCATGCACTTCCTTCAGTACAAGCAGGTTTTCTTCATAATACGCAGGAACTCCTGCTGGTTCACTTCTCCATCTCCATCCCTGTCTGCTTCATCTATCATCTCCTTCACAAACACACAATTATAAGTGAAAATGAAAATATGATTGGAGGGATGAAAGAGGCAAATCCACTGAGTTTTAAAGCATTCATGAGCAAATGTTGTCTTGACATTATTCAGAATTGAAGGCATGGCGTTCGGCTGCATTCAGGTATCTGAATATTGTTTTATTACACAATTAAGTGCTTTACCTGCAGCTCTTCATCTGTGAGGTTCTCTCCCAGCTCTTTGGCTACCCTCTTCAGATTCTTGAATGAGATCTTGCCTGTCTCGTCATCATCAAAGAGGCGGAAAGCTTTCAGGATCTCCTCTTTGGAGTCCTTCTCAGCCTAAAATCAGAGAAGATGGAGAGTAGTTTTACCACAAACTGCCTTTCTTTAGGAGATATGTGGTCGTTGAAGGACAGACAGAAGGACAGACAATAGGACAACCACATCATAAACTCTAAGAAATGTGTCCAGTTTGTGTGAAAGCAGGAGAGTCAGTGGGAAATGAATAGGCTGAAAGTCCAGAATTAAAACCTGCTTTTTGCAATCTGAACAAGACCATTAACTCAAATTTAAAGCTAAAAAGAAATGAAAGAGTGCTGAAGTTGCAAGAGATAGGAATGCATGTAGTATATTTCTTGACATAGATAACTACCATTTTCTGTGTCATGACAGCGAGGAAGTCAGCAAAGGAGATTTTTCCTATGCCGTCCTTGTCCACCTCACCAATCATCTTCTTGATCTCCTCCTTCTTCGGTTCAAAGCCCAGAGCTCTCATCGCAACCTGGCACAGTGTGAGAAAGGAGGAGAGTGAAGCACAAGCACCCCCCACACTGACACATGTTGATTGTGATCCGTGTTTGAGCACTTTTACCTTGAGCTCCTTGACATCGATGAATCCGGATCCATCGGTGTCAAACAGCTCAAAGGCCTCCCTGATCTCCTGCTTCTGCTCCTCGGTCAGCTCTGGTTTGGGGGTTGTCTTCTTGCGAGGAGGTGGCACAGGACCCTGCAGGGATGGTCTCTTGGCACTGGTCGCCTGGTGGGGAAGCAGGAATGGAGGCAGAGAGGAGAAAAAATGGTAAAAAACATGAGAGCCACTGCGTCTATGATGACATCAGAATTTCACCAGACCTATAAAAACCACATGGTTCATATGGAATATGGAATAATGTAAATCTCCATCACATATGGCTAAAATCTAACACACTAACGTGGATTACTAGGTTATTATGAAACATTTTCACTCACCATCTGTTGCTGTATATTTGATTGATAAAAAGGAACTGCAGAGCTGTTAAGCAATCAATGTTTTCCCCTGTTTTCCTCTGCTATGAAGCCTCCCTATCATTTAGGGAGGAGGAGGAGGAGACGGTGCAACGGTTTACACTTTACATCAGTTCCTCGCATTAATCATTGAATCACCCTGAATGAAAGATAGTCTCGTATGCCTCAAAACAGTCTATTTATTTGGCAGGAATAGCCGCTGAAATGTGCAGAAAATGAACGTTTTCTAGCTAAGAGCATGCACAGCTTTCGCTGCTCAGCTGCTGCTGTTGGCGTTTGATTTGTTCACCCTCAGCGCCAGCAGAGGAGCCAGTTGTTTCATGGCCACTGAGGAGCTAAATATAAAGTCACGCAGGCACAAATGGGAGTAAAAATCAAACGCACCAGTCGGGCAAAAATATGATTGGTTGCTGACGATCACGTGGCGCAAGACACGATCAGAGCAACCTCATCTGATTTCCATGGGAATATAAAATACGGAAACAGGATAATGATGAGGAAGTCTTTGTGCCATATTTATATGCAAAATATATCATATTACATATATAATATCTATATGCAGCATCGTGCTACTCTGTACCTCAGTACAATACACCCTCTGGTGTCGGCAGGCCTCAAATCAGAGCTTCTTCTAGTACAATAGAAGATGATTACCATATAGAGAATAATACGATAATGATAGTAGAATAATAGTGATGAAAAGCAAGTAATAATACAATTTAAAAAAACTAATAATCATATTATAAATGGAATAAGCCATCATCCACGGCCTCTGTGACCAAGAGGGCACTCTGAAGAAATTATTTAATAATATGATTATTACTGGAAAGGTCCACAGTACAGCAATGACATACATATAAATATCTGCTCGAACACTATTTTATACCAGTTTTAATGATACCATTTCTTTTACTTTTGCTATTATATATGATATCTGTTTTCTTCTATTACACGTTTCTCCCTCATGCAGTAGATCCATTTGTTGTATTTGTTGTATTAGTAAGAAATAAACTGGTGTTTGTGTGTTTTTTCCTTTATTTATCTTTTTTTAACTTAATAATATTTCTGACACAACCAACAAATACTGGAACAAAATCCATCCAAAAACATTAATATTGATGGTAAACATTAACTCACTGGCTCATTGGGCTGAGGCATGTCAGGGGGCGTGGTCTTCGAGCGAGGAGGCGGATGGAATCACATTGTGGCCTCCGATTGGTTAAAATTGTGGCGTTCTTTGACGTATTCTGGACACCATTGGCTACACTCGAACGTCACACTCGTGCCGAGCGTTGGCTCGACCAATCACAGAGCGCTCCTCGCTCAGCTGATTCAGACACTTCACGGTTCGTGC